TTTTGAATTTTAAATTAAAATTTCATTTCCAAAATGTAAAAATCAACATTTAACAAGATAAATTTTTAAATTTTAAATTAAATTTTAATTAAATAAAATGATATTACTTAACATTAAGAATTTAATTTTTTTCAGAGTCAAGATTAATATATCTTAAAAAATATATATGAGATAAATTTAAGGTAAAAAAGGATAGTCATTATGATACATGAGAGTACATATTCTCATTTCATACAAAGCATGGTAAGCAGAGCCCTTCAGTTTTTTCACTTCATCCATTCCATCCTCTGGTTTTTGTAAAAATGGTGGCTCAAGCTCTCCGGACTCTCCTCCTCCTCTCTACCGCACTTCTTCTCAGCCCATATTTCACCAATGCAGCCACTGAGACGGGGAAAGCCCTGATAACCAAAACCTGCAACAGAACTTATTATCCGACGGACTGCATTAAAACTTTGGAATCGGACCCTCAGAGCTCGAATGCCGATCTGCCAACCCTAGTCAAGATCTCCATGCACGTGTCTTCTTCCGAAGTTAAAAAGGGCTATGAGGAGGTTAGAGGGTGGATCGGAAAAGCTCCAGACTACGAAAGCTGGAGTATGTACCGAACGTGTACGGATTTCTACAACGAAAGCATCGCCAATATTAATGTGGGTCTCCAGTTTCTCGATAGGAAGGAATACAAGGATGCATTCTCCAAAGTTGTTACTGTTAACGAGGCTATCATCTCCTGCAACAACTTCAACAGGGAGCCGATTTCGCAGGTAAATGGTGCTATGATTAGATTAACCAACAATACGGGCACCATTTTGAGCCTTCTTTTCTAAGTTTATAAAATGGGATCATTAGTCAGTTTCATGGTGCTGATGTATCTTTTTCTTTTCAATAAAAGTGAGGAATAATGCACAAAAGCGTGCTTTTAAACTTTTTCCATTTGAACCCGTACAATTTCTATTAATTGATACATTAATAATTAATTAATATGTGTTCTTTTGCGGTAAAAAAAAAAAGTAATAAATAATAATTAATATATTATTGCAAACATTTGCAGTTACACATTTTTATCAACTAACATAAACAATCACATGACGGTTACATTTTATCCATGCAAAAGATGACTTAATAGATAATTTTTCATTAAAATGCCTATAGACATTTACTTTCAAATGGTCAACAATTATCTCAAATCCATTCATTATTTGCCATTATCCTCCATCCCTGCAACGGAAGACTAATTATCCATTAGGATAATTAACTCATTTACACCTCTAAGTTTCCAACGGAAACTCTTTATATCATTGTATAATATACTTTAATGTGAAGAGTTACAATATCTTTTATATATTGTTACATATTATGTAAAATAATTGTTGAAGTTACAAGTTTTCTCTTGTAATTTTGCTCGATTAATTTTTTTAATTCTTATTTTATCTACTTCCATACCATATATTATGGTCCTTTTGGATTTATTTTGTTACTCCAATCCAATGGTTGTTTTTATGGGCAAAAATAATTGTTCCTTCGACGGTTTGATTGAATTTGTTAGCATGATGATTGATGTGTATGTTATAGATTTTCTATACAGAAATGAGTTGTCCATTAGTCTCTAAATTAGGAGAATCTCTTTTAGAATGTTTTTCATTCAATGGATTACTTTTATTAGTCTAGCAGAGTAGCACAAGTTTACATTGTCAAAAAAGGAATTTTTTTTCCATAAAAGTAAACAAGGATATAATATAGATATGTTAAATGTCAAAATTTAATCCCTTAACTTTAATTTTAAATAATTTTAATAATTAAATTATTTTTTATACTTTTAACGTCCCTTAACTATAAAAAAATCCTCCTTTTTTTTTCCTTCCATTAATTGTTGCCATTAATCCACACTTTTTGTTCACGTGGCATCCAAAATGGCATTTTTTTTCCATTAAGACCTTATACTTTACTTATTGTGGTATGTTAGCACCTCTACTTCAGAGAAGTGCAAATTGACCCTTTTACTAATCGAGACCTGAAAATCAACCCTTTTGTGAAAAACCTCATGTTTTCGTCTGCCTCTCTACTACCCCGTTAACAAGGGATGACTTGGCGCTGACTTAAACAAAATGAATTTTAGAGATAAATTAATAATTTTGATTATTTATTAAATCAAAATATTTGTGAATTACGTACATTCACCCTTATAAATAGAGAGTTCTTTTAAAATCAGAACTTCCCTGCCAGTTTATTTTTAAATATACTCTAGTAATTTAAGGCATTAGTTTTATTTTTATTCGAAAAATTATAGGAATATTTTAATTTTATTAGTTGAAATAACAAATATTTTAATTTAATAAAATTATATTTAATATATATAATTTTAAAAAACAATACTTTCCCTTTAGATAACTTGAATTATCATTAGAACACATGGTCTTTTATTTGGTCTGTAGGCATCGTCAAATTAATATTAATAGGGCAAAAATAATATTATTTTCAAAACTTAAAATCCACACATGACACACTTAATTGGTCAATAATTTTTTCATGTCTATAATAAGTACTATTTATCTTTTTTCCTTTTTACTTCAATTAATCTCGTCTCACGAATGTCCACATTTAAATGGTTTTAAGTAAAATATGATAGACATAATTGATTAACTTTATTCTTTTGGTACTTTTTTACTTATTTACGCTCAACCTTCCATCTAATTTTCTGACGTTATCATCTTTTAACTTACTCTCACATATTTTATTATTATATATATCTCTATTTAGGATAATAATTAGTATACCATTTGGTTTCATCTATTAAGTTTGCAAGTGAAAATTTTTTTGACTTGAATTTAAATTTGAAAATAATAAATTCTTAATGAATGTATTATGAAATATATTAAATCAAAGAGTGTATCAATCATTATTCATTTATCTAACTATATGCATCCTCATTTTTTCTCTCCATATTAATAATTTGTTTATTATTATTTTTTCATCACTTATCCTCCTATTATATTATGTTTTTTTAGTCACTCCTTGCATATTTATCGATCATTATAGATATTTTCTTATTTCAATTCGGCTCTCTCATTATCTATATTAGATATGTTTAAAATCAAAGCAAAATGCACAACTTTTTAGTATTCTTTCGTTGGTACCTTTTGACTTTGCACCATTACTTTATCTCTTAGTACTTTTTCTTGTAATATCATTTCTTAATTTATCCTCTCACAATTTCTCACCTATGTATCATTCTAAACTATATCTACCCTTATTTTTTTTCTCTATATTAATTAATAGTTTGTTCATTATTATTTTTTCTCTCTTTGCATATCGATTATATGTGCTCTAATTTGTAACTATTTATATTTTTTTATATTTCAATAATCATTATTAAGACATACATTTATCCAAAATTATTTACATCTTAATCATTATTCCCTTAGTTTCAAAATAACAAAGTAAATATGAATTATTTTGTGAAGTGCCACTTCATATATAATATAATGTACACCTACACTAAACACATTATATAATTGAAAAGAAGTTGAAGTTGGACTATATATTTGAGTAAGTTGTTTTCAACTTTAATAATATGTAAGATGTAGAAGTCAAATTATTATATGATAATTGAAGTGGAATTTGAGAATAATTAGTCAAAAAATTAGATATAATTAGAGTACTATTAGGTGTTATTATATGTATTGTGTTCACTAAGAAATTTTAAAAAGTATTAATTTAATTGAATTGATCTTCATCTTTCTCAATGAATTTTTTAAGGAGATTCATTGGATATTTATTTGATATTCAGAGATATTTTAAGATGTCCATTGGTACTTGCTTGGAATTTATTGAAAATTTTAACAATTTTTATAATATAAAAAAATAAGATAATTGAATTTGGATTTAAAGTATTATATAATTAGAATTGTCAAATCAATTTAAAATTGAAGAATAGAAAGTGAAGTTATTGGTTCATTAATTTTTTTTATGATAAATCAAACTAAGGTCGTAATAATTAAAATTACAACAATATTATACTTATGATACCATGTATAATTGTAAACTTACAATTTTATGTGATATTAAACAAGTAGGTGCATACAATATTGCAGAAAAACTCTTAATAAAAAAAATTAATTATATAATGACATATCAAGTTATAAATTTACAATGTGACATAGTATTGTAATGATAGCATTTTCGTTAAAATTATAACTATATTTAGTTCCTCAAAACCTTCGCAAAAATCCATTGGATTTTTTTTTTTTTTGAGAATTTATGAGTATTTTATTAAAGGAATTTATTGATGATTTTCAAATGCTTATTAGGTATTTATTTGATTTTTATTGAAGATTTTAAAAGATACATTGACTACTTATTTGAAATTTAAGATGGATTTTAAATAATTCATTAGGTATTTATTCAAAATATAATGCAAATTTTAATAATTTTTTATAATATAATAAAATATATTAAAATAACCCAGTTTTTAATTTTAATTTGTCCGTTAGAGTTCTGAATTTTTGAGATATAGGACTGATTTGCATTTTCTCCCGTAGTTATAAAAATAAAGTTTACTCTTAAATTTTGTGTTGAAGTCGTTGAGTCCAAATGTTTTACCCAAATATAGCTCCAATTTCAATAGAGAACCATAAGTCATATTAATGGAAGACCACACATTAAATAATCCCATTTTCCCTAACCTTCTAATGGAAGTGAGATTGAACCTGTCAAAGTTAGAATTAGTGAATGAACATTAGACTTGCAATCTCGCTAAACATAACATACTTGTAGAATGAACAAAGGCCTTAGCGAATACAATTTGATAGTTTGGTCAAACGAAATTGAAAATCAATCCTAAGAATTGAATCTACTAATAATATTAAAAAGTTTAGCCTTGCAAATTTAGTATAGAATTTAAGTTTTAAAGTCAAAATTAATTTTTTTTAAGTATTAAATTAATATGAAAAGTTTACCTTTAAAAATACTTGGTGAAAGATTAGTGATCTTAAGAGATAGAAATGTTGTTACAAAAATACCCTCACTATTTAAGAAAAAAATAGTTTTTAAACTACAAGATATCAATGTGTGCAAAAGTTGTTTAGAAAATACCATAACTCAAAAAAAAAAAAAGAAAAGAAAAGAAGAAAAAGAAGAAAAAAACAAAACAAAACAAAAAGAGTTGTGGGGGAGGGGGAGCCAACGAAATTAGACTATTTACACTAAAATGATATGATTTCTTGGCTAAATTATCTTCAGGACTGAAATTGACTAGTCCATTTAGGCGAAGACTGCAATTTAATATCACTTGATTTGAACATCAAAATGACTCAGATAGAATTGAAATGTCTCCGAGTGACAAGTTGACATATACCTATCTTAAATAATCAACAACTAACGCATTTTTTTTTGACTCAAATCGATTGCATCCTCATTTAACTATATTTTTCTCTACTTTCCCCTGCTTCGAGAAGAATACAAGAATGTCCCTTTTGGCTGCTGAGAAAATGCAATAAAGGAAAATAAAAAATAGAAAATGGAAAAAGTTTGAATACCCTTAAATTCATTTTAATAAATCTTTCCTTTGCGGATAAAAGTAAATTTTTTCTTTGCCAATAAAAGAAACAAGGGAAAATAGCTTGCAATTCTCTATTTATTGAAAGTGTGAAATAATTAATCTTGAAATGAATAATGATAAATGAAACTAAAATTTAGTCTCAAAATTTGATACAAATAACGTAGTACAAGTCACATAATTTAAAATATTAAAAAGTAAACTATATATTATTTAATAATTAATTTTTTTTAAAACTCATATTATTTTATGTATCAAATAATTTAATAATATGATTTATGTCATATCATTAATTTTAAATTTTTGTCCCAAAGTTTCATTACCATTACTCTACTAAAATTTACGAGACA